TAAGGTAATAGAGGGTATATTTATTTAAGTTCTAATCATTAAATTTAATTCACAGGTACTCTATAACCAAATGTTGTTATATACCTGTGAATGAAAGACAAACCCAATTAGATGTGAATATCAAATATTTATATACCTGTATATTAATATTAGTTATTCTCAATCAATGTCTTGAACCATATCTAACCTATTTGTTATCAGCACTTAAGATGTATAGTATTTACAAACACTGAAAGATAAACAGGAATTTATAAAAATATTATATTTCAGTTATAAAAGATGTTTATTTTTCTAAAAATTTGTAAATATTTTTATAAAATCTTAAAATGTTAAAGAAATGTAAATTATTATTATGCAGTCTATAATAAAGTTAAGTTTTGAAGAAAATATAAATAAGTCTAATTTTATTGCAAGTTTTTAGATAAACATGTCATAAAACAAAATATATTTCTTATTTGACAATATTTTATTATAATTCTTATCTCTTATACGATAACATAAATGTCAGTGTATGCAGAATTATTAAGATTTTTAATTCAGAAAAAATATTTTTTTAATTATAAGATTATTTAGAAAAACACGACTTAAGAATATTAATTAATTATAGAAAACCATTAAGCTAGGTTGATTTTTTATTTTATTTAATTTAAATTATTTTTTAATAAATTCTCATTTTTCCATTTCCTATGCATTGTATGGCAATACAAACACAAGAATTTCTAACATATTATAAGTATATTTTCAATGTCTAATAGGATTTTCAAATTAACAGTCATTCAAACAAACAATAAACTTGTTTTTCAAATTAGCGGAGCAATGAAAATCACAATTTTATTATTGTTTTTGTTATTTGATTTTATTCTAGTATTTTAAAATTGAAACGAAATTGAGAATTAATTATGTATAATAAATATAAATATATACAATACTAAGTATATAATATTATAAATTATTATTATAAATGCTATTTCAAATTAAATTTTTAATACAGATTGTGTAAGAAAGTCAGTTTTATTTGAAATATCATTATAAATTATCTAATCACCTGTCAAATTAGTCCATATCATCTATAAATTGGAATACAATATGAATGTTCCTTGGGGATTTCATTCATTGTATGTATTGTAATACTGTATGTTTGAGAATATTACATTAATACAGTACTATAAAATGAATTCTAATCTTATAATCATTTTAAAAAGCTATAATAAAGAGTTAAATTTATCTTAATTTAGATACAATGGTTTTATTGCATTAAACAACTTGCATTAAATATAAATACAATACAACACCTAATTGTAATAAGTACAAATTAATTTTAAATGAAGCAGACTCTTACAAGTCAGAATATTTTAAAAATACATTTAATCATTTTAATGTATATAATAAGTTAGTAAAGTATATAAATTATAAGTATATAAATAAGTTTTAATAGGTTCCGATTGTACTCATAAACTCTTACAAAGTATTAGTATTGAACTTCATTACTGTTTTTATAATTATAAAATGTAGTTATGATATAGAGTTGTTACTACAGTATATTATAATAGTTCATAAAGTAAGAAAGTTCAGTGTTTTCCTAAATTTTAAATATAAATTCAATATTATGATTATTTTCATCAAATCAGATCACAGAAATGACTGGATTACTTGTTATAATTTGAATACACAATACAGATATTTATTTCAAAGTCTAGTCACTACAGTACATTCAAGCTATTGGTCAATTGATTTGATATTAATGATCATTTTGTTAATCATAGCCAATACTCTCAAATCAAATGTAAGATTAATTCCTTCGAGTAATATATTAAAATTGTTTTATGACTTGATTTATTTATGCAAAAAAATTTTATCAAATGTATTCAGTTTTAATTATTAATACTTAATTTTGGTAAAAGTGTGTATTAAATTAAGTCAAATCATTGGTCTTAAGGTAAGATAATTATGCAAAATAAAAATAAACAATAAATATATTGATAGAAATCATCCGTAAAATCATTTGTTCATTGATTGTAAGTGTTTTGAATGGAATTTACGGTTGTTTTGTAGTCATATATGGTATTCATTATATTCTATATATATATATTATTAACAATATCGTTGTTAATATTGTGTTCATTACATGAGTTTTAACATTTAAAATGCATTAAAAGTGCAAATCACAAGCGAAACCCTAAACACCTGCACCTCTTAATACATGAATTGAATAAATCTGTTGAAAAGGCATTGAAAGTGTTCAGCATAGAAATTGTCGTGGTTTGGGGCAAACTTAGTTAAAGTTTTTTAATAAAAGTTTCAAAACAGTGTTGATTTCGTTTCGTTTCTCGAAACATTTGCAAAAGTGATGTTTAAATGTAGAGTTGAATACTCAGTGAGAAGAAAGGCTAACTTAAAAATGTTTTTCATTACCTCTTCATATCAGATGGAATCCATTGAGTCTAACGGCGCGCCCGCGTCCAGAGCCCAGTCAGCGCCGGTCAAGCCGACCACCGCTTCGCCGCCGCCCGCAAACGCGTCCGCAAACTTCGAGGACTTGTTTAAAGTGTTCGCCAAATTCGGTGATCCCAAGGGTGTCGGCGATGCCATCACACTATCCAATAGTGACAAGTGGTTCAAACAGGCAAAGGTCATTGATGGCAAAAAGATCACCACAGTTGACACCGGCATCTACTTTAAACAAGTCGCTAAGTAAGTCACATTATTCATCATTTAAATCATTTTAGTATAATAAACATTAAACATATCATCTATTTTGCTGTTCTTTTTCTAGTTTGTTCATTTTTATTTTAAACATATTATATATTCTTATTCAGTACAGTATTCAGTACAGTACATTATTATTCAGTACAAACATATACAGTAAATATAAATCCATTGAAATATATTGCAATATTATGAAATGAGTTTATATTAATATAATATATTTATATTTATATTAGTGTATATTATAATACTTTAACCATAGATATATTTACTAATAAGTAAGAAAATAACAAATTAATTCATAAAAGAGTTCGTACGAAAATGAAAGGGGATTTACAATTTAACAAATAAAACTTGAAATTGTTGAGACAAATAAAATATTAGTAAAATTGAAATCTTTTCAGAACGAAGAAAGCTCTGAATTTGTCGGAATACAACACATTCTTGGAAAGTATCGCCAAAAGCAAAAAACTTGAAGCTGAAGAGATTAAGCATAAGGTATTACTATTATTGTATATAGTTACAAATTATCTACTGTATCAATTTAAATGACACATTTTTCGTAACTGTGATTAAATAGTTAGCGAGCAGTGGCCCTCCATCTACTACCAAAACAACGGTAATATAATAACTTTATTATTGAATTTTTGTATTACAAATATTTGACTAAATTATCAATTAATTGACATTTGGTTTAGACGGCCGTCACATCTGGTGCTGTGGGAAGACTTACAGATCACACGAAATATACGGGTTCTCACAAACAGAGGTTTGATGAAAGTGGTAAAGGCAGGGGTAAAGAGGGTCGGGTAGACATCCCTAAAACTAGTGGTTATGTGACCGGATATAAAGAGGAAACTCATTGAATGCATCACACATTTACTTAATATATCTTATAAATGACATATTATGCCATATATAAACTAAACATAATACCATATATTGTACCGTATTATATTTAGATGTTTGATCCTTAATATCTGTTTTTGTGAACAAATCATTATTATATCCTTAAGATATGCTGAAGTAATTCTTTCATACAATAGCCAAACTGTTAATCTTTCAGAGATTTATGTTATTATGTTTGTCAACAATAAGAGGAATGAAGTGAAATTCACTGACTTTAACGCATATTGACGTTAAACACAGAATATATTGAAACGAATTTAATTGAAAATTTATCAAATTTACTCACATTATCAATGACTTGAAAATTATGGGTTTAATCAAAACTGTAAATGTTTTCAGTTTAAACATTTTGAAAATAACATTTAATTTAAGAACAAATGATTAAATTCTTATAAATATATGAAATAAAATACTAAATTATGTTATTTTTGATAATTTAAATATATGAATATTGCAAAGAATTGCAAAATTAGATTTCATTTCTGTTACAGAATATATTAATAAGACATTTGTTGTTAATTTGACTTTTAGTTCTTTAAGAATATATCATTGAATACAAAGTGTATATCATATGATAATTGAGGAAACTCTATACAATAAATTATAAGAAATTTTTATTAATAATAGTCTTCAGTATTACAAAATCTGTTTATATTCAAATGCGTTATTATAACAAAAAAATAGCCAAACTGTTAATCTTTCAGAGATTTATGTTATTATGTTTGTCAACAATAAGAGGAATGAAGTGAAATTCACTGACTTTAACGCATATTGACGTTAAACACAGAATATATTGAAACGAATTTAACTGAAAATTTATCAAATTTACTCACATTATCAATGACTTCAAAATTATGGGTTTAATCAAATTTACTGTAAATGTTTTTAGTTTAAACATTTTGAAAATAGCATTTAATTTAAGAACAAATTATTAAATTCTTATAAATATATGAAATAAAATACTAAATTATGTTATTTTTGATAATTTAAATATATGAATATTGCAAAGAATTGCAAAATTTGATTTCATTTCTGTTACAGAATATGTTAATAAGACATTTGTTGTTAATTTCACTTTTAGTTCTTTAAGAATATATCATTGGATACAAAGTGTATATCATATGATAATTGAGGAAACTCTATACAATAAATTATAAGAAATTTTTATTAATAATAGTCTTCAGTATTACAAAATCTGTTTATATTCAAATGCGTTATTATAACAAAAAATATAAATAGATTTGAATTTGTAATATTTGATAGAAAATGTTTGTATTTAATCATCACTACTACAGTAATCGGATAAAATAATTTCATCAAAATAATGGTTAGAACTTAAAACTCATTGCTTTCACTCTTTTATACATTAAGACACGAATTGTTTCATAAGTCCTCAAAAGATTGACTGTAATTCATATACTCATATGATTTGCAATGATGTATCTCATGTTTAAAAGTTTTCAATCAAAATATATAAACATTTATTATTAGAAAATATAACCTATTGCTACAATACTACCGTAATATAATGTAGTAGAACTTAATTTTAATTATTAGCAAGTTAAAAACTCTAGTATATTCAAAACTATATTAGAATAAACTTGAAATCCTTTTGTTTTACAAACAATTGAATATCAAATAAGTTTTCGACATGTCTTCCGAAATACATTCCCAAAATTATTTTAATAATTATTTACTATTTTCCGTTTAATTTTGTTATTTTAACAAATATTTGGAGATAAGATTTAGATCTAGAATATATAATATAATAATATGTTAAAACTGTTATAGATATAATTGTTACTAAATTATTAGATTATTTTGTTTGTTATTTTCTTAAATGTGCATCAAATTATTCATTGTATGATCAATAGCTACAGTATCCCTCATTTTCATCATTACAGTACTGTATTGTATTGTATTGTATGTCTACTTTCCGTCGAGAGCTTATGCAACAAAAAATTGCAAAAATATTAATACTGTATCATAAATTCAAATAAAATGTAATATTAAAAATACTAATTACAATTTGTAATTAACTTATATTAAAGTGTAATAACGCACATTATATTACCATTATATGTATTTGTATTTAATAAATGTTTAGTAAATTTTATTAACATTTAAAATTTATTATTAAAAAAAGTAAAAATTCTTATACAGTCAAATAAATCCACATGCAACTCCAACATCTGAGTTATAAATTGGTTTTTAAATAGTTTATTCAGTGATTAAAAAATAATTTAAGTTATTGAAAATTTGAATAACTTTTTAGGAAATATTTTCAAAATTAAAATAAATTTAATGTACGAATAGTTTTGGGTAAATATAAGAATTT